AATAAAAAATAAAAATCCATCCAATGTTGATGTCCTGTTTACTAAAATTACATTGTGGTCAGCACGGCTTGAACGCCGACAGAAGACCTGTGAGTTCTCTCTCATGGCGAGGGTGCGGTTTTTCCAATAAAGTTTGGCACTGTTCTTGTCAATCGTGACATCCACACGGCGGGAGATAAGCATTGCCCTGGGTGGGTTGGGGGAAGGCTTAGCTCTTGAGGGTGATTTCTATTCTAAGAAGGACTTGGGAGGGGTTCTTTTCCCCCTTGTCTTTTTGCTCTTCCAAACCAGGTCTCTCTTCCCTGTTCTAAATAGTTTTACAAAATGGTTGCTTGCTGGTCTTGGTGCCATTTCGCAGAAAATCAAAGGCACTCTAAAAGAATCTGTCATTTAAACAATGTAAACCTAAGCCTTGTTTTATTTATCAGAGACTTCAGAACAATTTCGACAATTGTGAGCAAAGCCTTCACACGTTTTTATCGGTTAACAATCTTTTTTTAAATTTTATTTTATTATGTTGTGTTAATCACCATACATCATTGGTTTCTGATGTAGTGTTCCATGGTTCATTGTTTGCATATAACACTCAATGCTCCATTCAATATGTGCCCTCCTTAATACCCATCACCAGGCTAACCCATCCTCCCACCCCCCTCCCCTCTAGAACCCTCAGTTTGTTTCTCAGAGTCCATAGTCTCTGATGGTTCGTCTCCCCCTCTGATTTCCCCTTCCTACTTTTTTTTTTTTTTTTAACATATAATGTATTACTTGTTTCAGAGGTACAGGTCTGTGATTCAACAGTCTTACACAATTCACAATCTTTTAAAGCACTTTGAATATAGATACTGTTGAGAGAGGCAGACACTCACCAGGTCAGCCACAATCCCCACTACTCCCTAATGCATCATACCCGCTGCTGTTCATTTTTAGCTGCCTCACTCCTGAAAACATCAGATTTGGGCCTCCTGCTTATAAATGCACACCCCCCATCCCTTTGATCTGTTAGTAATCTGTTGAAGGGGCTTCCTCATTGAGACAGAGGTTGAAGCATTTCCAGAGTTTCTTCCAATTCTGGGTTTTTTTCTTCCACCTAACTAGTACAGAGGTGAAGAAACTGCTTTTAGAAGGTTGTCTAAAAGCACTTTCCTTATCTAACGGATAGGCTCACAGAGATAGCTCCATTCTATCTGTAAAACCAAAGCTCAAGTTCACAACGCCTCATACATGACAAAGGGCAACTGTATTCTCCTGGGGAGTAAGTGGATACTGTGGGTACCTCTCCCTGAATCCTCCAGCTACTGGGAATACGGGCTGATCTCAGTTCATTGCAGTTCACTAGGAATGGTCCTTGGACCTGCCTCACCCAATCCAAGACAACACCCACTCCCAGAGGGCAGCTAATGAAGGGACAGAGGCGAGATCCTTTGTTTCAATGGGGATTAATTGTGAAGGGCCTTCCCAACTACCCCCTTAGGATCTGCTGAGGCCTCAGCTGCATTTGCTTAGTAGGTCAACTCCTGCCCACTCCTGCCTTGCTCAGTCCCCTTAGCTGTATTTCCTGAGAGCTGTCCCCAGTAAAGTTTCTGCCCCGATTCTCCCATCTGTTTGTTTCCAGGGAACCCAACCTAAGAAAAGGAATGAACCAAGCCACAGAGTGACTTTGCCTCTGCCATACCAGTAGGGGCCAAAAGAGATCACTGGCAGCAAATGTATAAATCCCATAAAGCTGCCATGGAAAGAATCCTTAGAAGCCATCAAGTACAACCCACCCTCTTCCAGATGGGGAGACCGAAACAGAGAACCACAGTGATCTGCTCAAGGCATCAGAAGGTAGTTAGGTGAGAAAGCGGCCATCGGACTCCCCACTGGTTGTGACCCAGGCAGGAACACAATATCCTAGCATTTAATCAGCTCCCAGGAAACCTTGATGGACCGTGAGAGTCAAAGGGAACTGTGAGAATTGGGGAGTCAGTACGAAGTGGCCTTGTAAGCCCATCCCCCACTGACTAAAAAGAGGAGCGAGGTCTGAATCAGGGATGGTAGTGCACTTTATTAACAAACAAAACAGTACCATACGGGCAAAATCGTTACTTCAGTGGCAACACACACACATAGGCGAACTCCCACATGGAGCACTGGGGCACATCTCAGACAGAACATTAGGCACCGAGTTCACAATCAAACTAAACATAGTTCACAGTCCTTCGGTATTTTCTCTTCCGCGCAGTTCAAGTCCTTATTTAACAGTTGTGACCAAAAGGTTACCTTTTTAAGTCTAATTCTTGACCTTCCTGTGGAGTGAGGCCAACACAGCCTTCAGGACTGTGAAGCAGATGCCAGGCTCTATCAGCTGCTGAAACTGCCTTTGGTTTCTTGGGGTGGGAAGAAAGACCTCTAGGATCTCAGTGGTGGACAAATAAAATGGTGGGAGTTCTCAGCTCTGATTTCCTATCTCGGCACACCTGGAATAGCATTCATTTTTAAGTTCAATCTATAGTTTAACAGGGCTGATCTCACTAGGGTACATTAATTGGTTTTCTAAAAAGTTTGAAAAGAGGGTAAATCACTACTCAGGAGTCCTTCAGCATTAAAGACTTAGATATGTTAACAACCTCCTTACTGTTAAAACTGTTGCCTGTTAAGAAGCTGAAGTCAGCATTTCCCAAAAGGTGTGTCAGAACCAAGTTAATCAGTAAGTGAACAGAAACAACTGAAATAGATCAGGGATGTGATTTCTCTCAGCACTTAGGTATAATATGTGGCAACTCCTTATGGACTGGAGCATATCCAAGATAGTACCCAAACTCCTAGGTTAGCTAAAATGCTTTTCAATTACAAAGTAAAGAGTGGCAGAAAAATCCTGCTCTTTGCTCTTACGATAGGCAAAACTGCAATACCTTAAGCCCTCATTATCAGGGTCCAGTGACTTGTGAATTTATAAGGTTAATTATGTAATAAACTTGAGTTGATTTTCTCTGGCAATCTTTAATTCCCATTTAGTAGAACATAGGGGATTAGGTTAAGAGGTATTAGGAGATAAGAAGGGTATGAAAATCCTGAATATGGGAGAAGCAGTATGGGAGAAGAAGCAGTAGACTCACCAGCTCTAAGACAATCACGTGACATTCAGTAGAGGGGCAAACACAATGGTATCACTCTCTTATAAAAGTCTAAAATGATTGAGACACATAAAGATTCATCTGATTAATTAAAAAAGGTGAATTTCAATGAAGCTTGTTGAATAATGTGTGGAAGTATGCCCATCACAATTTTTATGTAAAATTTTTGGTACATAAAAGAGTAAACTTCAGCTATCTAGAAACTTCATCTAAAATGAAATGCCTCGGGGCGCCTGGGTGGCTCAGTTGGTTAAGCGACTGCCTTCGGCTCGGGTCATGATCCTGGAGTCCCTGGATCGAGTCCCGCATCGGGCTCCCTGCTCAGCGAGGAGCCTGCTTCTCCCTCTGACCCTCCCCCCTCTCATGTACTCTCTCTCATTCTCGCTCTCTCAAATAAATAAATAAATCTAAAAAAAAAAATTAAAAAAAAAAATAAAATGAAATGCCTCATTCATCAGTGATGTGGGATAAGATGTTACTGTGTATCCACCTGTGTACCCAAGTCTACTGAATCTTGTCAACTGCTTTATTTGATCACATTGGTGTTGATTTTTTCCCCCAGATGCTTATATGTAAAACAGTAGTCTTTCATGGCTGAAACCTCTGGAAGGGGCTTTAAAAAAAAAATCTGAGTTTTTAAAATGAGAAAGGCCAGAAAGAGGTGGGCACTGTTCTGGGCCCACATTACTCCTAAAATAGAGAACTCAGTCTTCATATTAAAATCACTCAATTTCATGTCTGTTATAAACTTAATAACTAAAGCCAGTGAGGTTAAAATATAAAGCCCCAATTTCCTTTCTCTATTTGATAGTCTCAACAAATAGCAATCAGAAATTTACTATGTGTATCTCAGTTCCTATTTGAGAGAGATCAGCATGCTGATATTTACTCAAAGGTAACTCTGTCATTTAGGTTAACAGATCTGCCTAATTCTACTGCGGTCCTAGGAAAAAAGAAAAAAAAGTGTATGCCACTAAGGCCTTCAGACAGCCAGGGTCTACCTGAGAAAAGGAAAATACTTTCTCGAAATCGGCAGAGAAGGTTATTGTGATGTCTAGCCATCCTCCAGGAGGAAGAGCAAATGCCTATTGCAGTGGGTCTCGTGCGGAGCTCATCAGGAGGCCTCCTGGGGGACAGTCCTGCCACTAGTTTACTCTGCTCCCATGGGGAGCTACACACAAGTCACCTGAAACACCAGACTAGATTTCTAGAAACTTCACAGGAAGTAGAAGTGGCCAGGATGGCCTATAAGATGTCCCTCAGTGGTCTACACCCCCATTGCTTTCATTTACTATCCCTCATCCAAAGGGGGAGCTGCTGACCCCCAGGAAGCTGCCAGCCTCTGGGCTCTGGACCTACACTTCACTATTTCCTAAGGACTGAAAAGGATGGTCACAGGCTGGGCCGTCACCTATTTAACCTCTACAAAGAGAAAGGGAACCGCTTCATTTCTGCAATCATCAGGCATTTCGTGTTAAAGAGGAGCAAAACAGGACACAGAAATTGTTTCTGACCAGCACTTCAATTAGACATCTTGAAATTAAGGAGTTGATCACAAGGTTTTATTCTACCAGTCAGCACAAGTTAGTCTACACAAGGCAAATAACGCAATGGAGCTTGATCTTATTGAAATTAATGAGGTGATTCTTTGGGTTGTTTTTACTCTGACACCAACTGAGACTAAACTTATGGGTGAAAACCAGTGCATTTAAAGATGATCCAATGATACAGCCTTTGCCAACATTTTGCTTTTGATGGTGCTGGGAAAGAGTAGGCAGAAAGCATGAGGCTGAAACCTCAGGATCGTGTCAGCAGCCTGAATTTGCACACCGCAATCCACAGGACAGTGACTGATGTGGAGAATCCAATGATCTTCAGCAGGCCTGCCACGGAAGGCAGGTTCCTCTCCCAAAAGGTGTGGGTGATCTCCATAGCTGGAACATCCTGGATGGATGAGCAGAGAGCATTAAGCAGAGCAACTCTCGTTCGCCCCGCTGAGGCGCATGGACATATGCCCGAGAGCGGCATCTACAATGACCTTACAAGCTGGAAGATGAGAGTCAAGAGTTTTACATTCGATTACTGGTCCATGGAGAGGAAGCTGCAAAACTCACCTTTGATTCCGGTTCTTGAACTCTTATGTCTTTCTTGGCCACCTTCCCCAGAGCATTCAAGACCTGCAAGAAAGTGGCCGTGGTGAAGTGAGCTTCTAAGGTCCTGACAGACGCAAGGCCCCGCTCGCCATCAAGGAGCCCCCCAGGAGTGGAAGGAGCGGCAGAGAAGCGGAGGTGCACATTTATCCATGTCAAGAGCCGGAAAGGCCCGATGCCAAAACCACCACCGGCCTCGGGAGAGACAGTGACGCGCCCCCGCTCCCTTACCTCCCTAGCTGCCCGTTCTCCGGCCTCTACTGCCCCTTCCATGTAACCGCTCCAGTGTGTGGCTGTCTCCGTGCCAGCAAAGTAAATTCTGTCAACGGGCTGGCGAATGACCCTTTGAGAGAACAGAGAGGTCACACAGAGTTACCTGGGAAGGCAAGGAGGGTAAATGGGCCCGTCGCTGCCCTCATTTGCCCAGACAAGGCAGCGCAACTCAGATCGTTTCCAAAACTCCTGTATGGCTCAGCCAAAGGTGGAAGGCCCCTCCCTGTTCCTTGAGCCTGTGCCCAAGGATCTGAACTTTCAAGCCAGAGAGAAGCAGGCTGTCAGATCATCAGTCACTAAAGGTAACGCTGGCCTTTGCCTAGCCAGCCAGGATGCCAGGATCAGAAGACAAGAATACACAGGAAATCCACAATCAGATTTCTTGGCTGTAGGTTTCCTGTTTGCGGTCCATTCTCCTCCCCACACCATCTTTCCGAGGGGGTGCATTCTTCACGAGAGGGGATCTGGCAGCAGACCCCAGCCAAGCACTCCCAGGGTATCAGGATGAACCACAGTGGTGAGTGGGAAGACAGGGACAGGAACTGATTTGTAGCAGAGGAGGGACCCGAGGGATTAGAGGTCTGTCTGTCTCAAAATAACCACGTCTGCACAGTTAGCTTTTGTGAATTTATGTGGAGACTGGCTGAGGACAGGGAAATGGGCCTTCTCTTCCAAAGAGGTCCTCCCAAAGAAAGCCCCAGAAGGGCTGGGCTGAATGGGCAAGTGTCCCCTCCTAGCTTGTCAGCTTTGACTCCTACCAGGTCGGCAAGCCATTTTCACACAATCTCCCGAGCAGCACACCCTCCACCCCCCAAGGCCTCTCGCCTTTCTCTAATTCAGGAATCTTTGGTTTCATCTATCCTTGATTCCAGTTTCCCACTTCTGGCCTTCTTTTTTTTTGTAGTTTTTAATTTTATTATGTTATGTTAGTCACCATACAATACATCATTAGTTTTTGATGTGGTGATCCACGATCCATTGTTTTCGTATAACACCCAGTGCTCCATGCAGTACGTGCCCTCCTTAATACCCATCACCGGGCTAACCAATCCCCCCTCCCCCCTCCCCTCTAAAACCCTGTTTGTTTCTCAGAGTCCATAGTCTCTCATGGTTCATCTCTCCCTCCAATTCCCCCCGCCCATTTTTCCCTTCCTTCTCCTAATGTCCTCCATGTTATTCCTTATGTTCCACAAATAAGTGAAACCATATGATAATTGACTTTCTCTGCTTGACTTATTTCACTTAGCATAATCTCCTCCAGTCCCATCCATGTTGATGTAAAAGTTGGGTATTCATCCTTTCTGATGGCTGAGTAATATTCCATTGTATATATGGACCACATCTTCTTTATCCACTTCTGGCCTTCTACTCTGCCTTCGGAACTACTCCAGCTCATCAATCCCATTATCACTCACAAAGACTATTTGATTCAATTAATTAAAAACAACGAACAGTCTCATGTAAGGAAAGGGTTAAGAAGCCCCTCTTTCTCTGTGGACACACGTGAGCCGGAATTAACTTTCCAGCTCCGTTCCTCTGGGAACCTGATGGAAGGTACCCCGCCAGGGACGTCACCACGCGACACTGCTTACGCCCAAACGCCTCTCCCGCCCTCACACCGGTAACCGCGTCGGGGCTGGGAAGACTGTCCTGAGTTGCAAATACCCAGCAGGAGGCTCTCTCTTTGGGCTCTTGCAGCTGAGCACATCCCTGGACAGACAGACCCCTGTGCCCTATGAGGCAGTTACAAGAGACAATGGCTCTTCTGGGGCCTATGGGGCTTCGAAGCCAAGGCGGACTCTCCGAATCCGTGCCGAGATCCCCTCCTCACAGGTTAGCTGTCCTCGGCAGGGATGGCTCCCCCGAAGAAGAGGAGCGGCTGCAGCAAGATGTCTGTAGCTAATGTCCTTAGGCGGAGACGGGTACTCAGAAGCCTAGGGTAGTCGTGTGAAACTCAATGTCTAATTGAGCTCAAGAAGGCTGGCTGGAGGACACTGCAGCTTTCAGGGTGCTCACCCGGAGCACTGACATCTGAAACCCTCACCCGTGCTCTGCTACTGCTCTGCGTGCTGACAGCTAAGCTTCTACGTACTGGCATCCTTATTTTCCTACGGACGGCCAGAAATCCACACACTAACTACCTGGGGCATTCGAAATCCGAATGCTGACCACTATGTCTCCAAGTCCCCTCGAACTTTGCTTATGAGTTTAAGTTTGGTGCATGTCGGGGCGCCTGGGTGGCTCAGTCGGGGAAGTATCTGCCTTGGGCTCAGGTCATGATCCCGGGGTCCTGTAATCAAGCCCCACATCGGGCTCACTGCTCAGCGGGGAGCCTGCTTCTCCCTCTCCCTCTGCCTGCCACTCCCCCTGCTTGTGCGCTCTCTCGCTCTCTCTCCCGATGACAAATAAATAAATAAATAAATCTTAAAAAAAAATAAAGTTCGGTTCCTGTCTTGGATTAATCGGGATGGCGTCTGGGCAGTACCTTCCATACTGAGTCATGATCCCAGGGGGGAAGTAGGCGGTGTAGCAGCCCCCGGAGTACTGCTCCTCGCACCAGTTCTTCTCTTCGTAATGCACCGGCTGCATTCGGTGGGGGGAGAATTCCAAAGGGAAGACAAAGCTGAAATGCGACCCGTCAACCACGAAGGCTCTTGTGCATTTTACTTTAACAAAAACTTTACATTAAAGAAAAAGGTGGCCCTGTTCTTCTATTTCATTTAAGGGGAAACATGACAGTACCAAGTAAATGGCCTTCGGGGAGGTACCAAGTGACAAAACATGTATACTTTGACTTTTTCGACCTCTTGATGAGGGGAGGCATGGAGTATTCCAATATCTGGGAGAGAGGGCAGTGCCACGCAGATCTCAAATCTTTAGACTAAGCCTCACCAACAATCACATTCTGGAAAGGTCTGCTCAAATCTCTGGATTCTCTAAATAACAGACTTTTACTTCCCTATCTACCATGGCTGGAAAAAAAAAAAAAGTGGAAGGGAGGAGACATAAGATAAGCACAATGTAGGGGCGCCTGGGTGGCTCGTCAGTTGGGCATCTGACTCTTGATTTCAGCTCAGGTCGTGATCTCAGGGTCCTGGGATCAAGCCCCGCGTCGAACTCTGCATTCAGTTTGGAGTCTGCTTGTCCCTCTCCCTCTGCTCCTCCACCCATTTGCTCTCTCTCTCTCTAAAATAAGTAAATAAAATCTTAAAAAAAAAAAGATAAGCACGATGTCTAAGAAAGGCTTTTTTTTGGAACCATTTCTCTGAGCTGGAAAAGTGAATGATGGGAATCCTGCTAAAATGGGGACAATTAAAGATGAGCAATGGTTTCCAAGAGACATGAGAGACCGTTCTCTGAGTTTTTCTCTAACAGAGTCTACAAGTTCATTGTTCGAACAGTTCAGAGATAATCTCCTGAAAGAACCCCCAGCTAGGTAATAGGATCTTCAGATAGAATTTCATTCCCGTCATCACTTTCAGTGGTGGACTGAAAGGACTGAAATTACATGAGCTGTGAATGGAGTCTACGGATGGAAAAATCAATTAGTGTGGCTCTGACCTGAGAGAGTCTAGATTCTGCCCACCCTATCAAGTATTCACTAGTGCGCCCTCACCAACAGATGAGGACGTATTTGGGATTTCGCTTCAGAGCAGTCAGTTGGCTTTGATGGGAGGGCAGGACCTCTGTTCTGGGAACTGATCTCACCCACCCGGGAGATAATACCTGTGACTCCAGGCCCTGATGGCAATTGGCTGCCAGTTATCCAGGGAACACGGAAACAGCCCAAGGAACTGCTGCATCAGAAATTGCATGCCCCTGACGGCAGCTTTCATTGGCCTTTCTGGGACTAAAGTTAATCCTCCAGTAAGCATATCCCTTCATAAGACTCTCTTCCTAAGACGGTCAGGAAACCAGACTCTGCTTTGCTTTACCACTTAGAGCAAACAGAGCAGAACTTTCCAGGGATTAAAGCTGAGGGTTTCTTACTTGTAAAGCTTCTTGGGATCCTAGCACTTTGGCATAGAGCTCACAGATCTTCTTCTTCCTGTAAAGAAGAGTAAAAAAGAGAAATGTTAAGGAAGTAATAACTGAGGAGTAGAGAATAAACACAGTGAGTTTATTCATTATCATTGGCTCTCGCCAACGAACCAGATGTATTAAGAAAAACCTAAAATCAATGGTAACTACACAACATGAATAGTTCCATGAATCTCTGCACTCGGATCAACCCTCTGTGCCTCAATACGGTCATTTGACTTGAAGACGCAACAGAATTTTCCTTTTATATTTTTGCCTCTTTTACTACCCGGTATCCTATCTATTCAAGATTCAAATGGGGAAAATAAGATTTGATTAAGTGCAGTCAGTTTAGGAAATGATGCTAAGTCACTTTTCTGGAACACATAGAATTCTAGAATAATCCCTTTTAGAAGTCCATAGTCCATATGACAGCATCTTTTAACTATCCTCCACTTATGTTTTAAAGATCTATGAACATCTGAAGCTTATTTAATCTTTTAAGTATAACATACAATATGCCACACCACAAGAGGCCTATGGTCATTCTACTCTAGTCATCGGGCATGTGACAGAATGGTCTGTGGACACAGTACTTCCAAGGGATGTGCTACACAATGTTACCCCAGACAGTCTTTGGCTACCCTCATAATTCATTATGTAAATGACTATCACATCACATGACACGTGGTAGGTCTTAAAGAAAATCAGCAGCTTCACTGATCTAGGCACTTTCTGAAATAGGTATTTGCAAACTCACAACCACTCTTGGGGAAATTAAAAAGTGCTAATTTACTAAAATCACCCCTTTTCAAAATAAATGGTTCAATTTCAGGATTTGTTTGAACAGGTTCATACTGAGCCAGTTATATACTTTGGTATTTAACTTCTTTAGTCTTTATATAGTTTAAACATTGAAACTGCTCCAAAATATTTGTTAGGCGCTAATGAGCAACTGGAAAAAAAAAATTTGCTAAAAAATGGGTGCAGGGTTTACCTCGAATCTGAAACACAAGTACTGAAAGGTGAAGAGACTAATGGCCAAAAATGAGAGAAGGGGGAAAAGGAGGGGTGGGAGGGTTATACTTACTAGTAATAAAAGAAACAGAGATTTTTAAGAATGATGATTTTACGTTGCCAATTACATTAGAAAACATTTTTAAAACATGTCCTCAATTTCTCTGAACGATGTGAGATAAAATCTAACCTTATAAATTTGTCAAAATGCTCACATTTAGGCCATTTATATAACTCCCAGAACTTCCGTTTCATGGAGATACAGTGTTAAGTCAGGAAGAGGAGGTGAAATCATAAACATAGTGGCTTGCTGCCACCATGTTCCCATGGAAGGTTTTCAGAGATAGACAAAGGCTACTGCTGAGGTGATGTTCTAGAACATTTAGGTGGCTCTGTAAGTTCCAGTACAAACAGGAAAAGTTTGGTTTCCATGAAGGAGCTGCTCCTACTGCAGATCAATAACCATAAAGGAAATGCAGAACTGGAAGAAGTTTCCAGACGACTGCCTGCCTCTGTCTCTCTCTGTCCAATCCAAGCCACTTAATGTGAAAGATGAGGAGGCTGAAGCTCAATAAAAATGTACTGAATCAAAATCCATCCTCAGCATAACATGATAACCTCTTTCCTACTCTATGATGAGATGATGGGTTCTTACCTACTTCGCGTGGGTGTTATGAGGAAATTCCAACATTTGAGAGTCAATCAGAAAACAAAAGTATGGATGGATCATCATTCTAAAGTTTAATGATGCTTAGCTTATTTTGGGGACATGTGATAAAATCTTTATTAAAACAGAATGAAATCTAAAATCCAATCAACCTACCTTGCAGTTAATTTTTCATGATGGACAATAAGCCCTTTATAATAGAAAGGGAAGTCATTATTTACTGTATTTTACAGTTATAAGATGAGTCAGGGATGAGTTCATACAAAACATCAGGAAATTATCTTCCCCATCCCTTCGTCCCATTAAAATGTAAAAATTTGGGGGAAAGTTATGTAAGTCAAAAATGTTAGAGCAATGCAGTGATTGGTTGGTTGGGCTCTAAAAATAATAGAACATATTTTAAATCATGGCCAAAAGAGGCCACTGTGCAAATCTCTTGTAGTTGTGTTTACTCACTGGTTTCTAAATCTGGCTGCTCGTCATAATCATTTGAAAAGCTTGTTAAAAGATACAAAATACTCAGGCTCCACTCCTAATCTACCACATCATAATCTATCGGCCTCAGAAAAAAAACATATTTTCCAAACATTCTCTGGCAGATGTTGATGCAGTCGGTTGTGGGAATCTCGCTCCAGTCAAAGACACATTCGGGGTTCTAAGGGTTTTGCCTTATAAAAACTTTTGAGAAGTTCAGCCACCGTGTGGAATCATAACCAAATGTCTACATCCAGGCTGGTATTTATTTTACTATTAATAAAGGGGGAAAGCAGGAAATCCAAAAGAAAATGTCAAGCTTAGTATGGCGTAATGAAAAAAAGTTTGCATTGGATGCTATTCCTGACTTTGTGGAGACCTGGACAGACCATTCCCTGCCACTGGACCCCAAATTCTCCCTCTTCTGAGACCCGGACAGACCATTCCCTGCCACTGGACCCCAAATTTTCCCTCTTCTGAGTGAGGAGACAAAGAGTTCCCTTCTCGAAATCAGACCTTATGGTAGCTCAAAGAAACAAATTCGTGTGCAAATGTGGAAACTTTTGCAGCCTGAATTCCAAAGTCATCAAAGTAACTCTCAAAGCAAGGGCTGCTTGTGGATTTGCTGCTTCATTGTTTAATTAAATGCAGAGAGAAGTGTACATCTGTGTGCATCCTGGTCCTCTTCAAAAGCCAACAAAGGATTTAGGGCTACCCTCTGGAAGGGAAGCCCAGAAATTCCCAGAGGCACCCTGCCCCCCAACAGCCAAATGACTGTTTCCAGGTTAAGAGTTCCTGGTAAGCTTTTATCTGAACAAAGGAAAGGATTCCAAGGCAAAACCAAACAAATACAACAAGGCAGAAAGGGAAAGGGAGAAAGGAAGGAAAAAAAAAAAGCCACTGTCCTACAATGATTGTTTTATACTAGGAAGCTATTAGAGAAGGGAACGTCAGAGCTGCGTCCTAGATAATCAAAGGGGGATACTTCTATGTACACAAGTAGCAACAGGTTGAAACCCACACGTATGGCTTTGCTCTTCAGAAAAAGTACACGTCAGAGGACCTTGGAAAAGGGATAATGGTCTCGCGAGGCGATTAGGACTCAGCCTCTAAAGCTTTTTTGCACTGCTAACGTTTCCTATAATTTTTCTCCATCTGCCCTACAGGGGGAAACCCTACCTCTCAACCACTGTACAATAAACACAAATATGTAAACCTACATTAATTAACGCATATGGGCAAGCACTGAGTCGAGGGGACTTGTAACACAAAGGTTGCCATGGTGACAAAAAGGTCGATTTATTGGGATTTTAAGACTATTAGTGAATCGTGGTGTTTTTCAAGATGCCATTATACTGTTGTTAGCCCACCAAGCACAATATAAAGCTAAGCTTTTATATGTATTTCAGATGTCACTTCTTACCTTATTTCCTTATGGAGCTTGGCAAGTCGGTCAGCTTTTCGGGCAAGTATGAAGCTGCAGAGAGAGGTGACATTTGAATGATTAGGTGAGCGAGCTGCCTCCTCTTTTCCAAAATGTTCTTGCCTCCGCCACTCAGCATTGATGAACTCTCGCCCAGGCACTCCCATTACTTCCCTCTATTAGAGAAAATGCCAGGCTGCCTTCCATCTGCCTGTGTCCAAAACCCCTCTAGGCTGTGGGCTCCTAAGTAACCGGTCACCTCCTGCTCAATGCTTTACCCCCAAAGTTCAGCACGGCTCTTGGCATATAGTTGGAAATCAAATGTCAGTTGAATTAATATTGCGCTAAATGCTATCCTGGTAATTGACTGTTGCCTTCTGCCAAATACTTGATAAAAGCTGGAAAACCAAATCGAAGTTAGTAGTTGCAGTGGACCCATGGTGGGCCCCCCAAATCCCTCTTTGGGACCAAGCAGTCATTACCCTGAGAGCTCAGGGCTGGACCCTTCCCCAGCCACTGCCTTCTGTGGCAGAGGGCTGCCTGGCTCAAGGTCCCGCCCCTCCCCAGAATGACCATCTCTGGGGTGTGGTGGGCACCAAAGTCCATTCCCTTACCTCAGGGCATGACACCTCTGAAGGGCCATCCCAGTTCCAGAACTCCTTATGGGATGGCTGAGACCTCCGCCCGGCCAATGTCGGAGCCCAACCTCTTCCTCTGCCCAATCTTGATTCCTTCCCTTCCCCACAGTGACCCCGGCACACACCCCAACGAACCCCTTGCACCCAAATCTCCATCTCCAACTTAGCTTCTGGGAACCTGGCCTAGCACCTCCCCCAAATTCAGTAACTCAGTAAAACTCAGTTATAATTAATCTGTAAATACTGATATTACTAATTGCATGTATGTTTTAATGAACTGAACTGTGACAACAAATCCTTAGGCACACTATTATTAGAAAGCATTCACAAATCCAAATGAGCTAAAGGACACTGAAATTATTTCTCCATTTAAAAAAGTTTTACACTTGGGCGCCTGGGTGGCTGAGCTGGTTAAGCGACTACCTTCGGCTCAGGTCATGATCCCAGGGTCCTGGGATTGAGTCCCACATCAGGCTTCCCCTGCTCTGCGGGGAGCCTGCTTCTCCCTCTGCCTCTGCCTGCCATTCCCCCTGCTTGTGCTCTCTCTCTCTGTCAAATAAATAAATAAAATCTTAAAAAAAAAAAAAAGTTTTACACTTGTATTTCTTTTGTTCTAGGCCAAAAAGACAGGTCAGGACTGAGAATGCAAGAGTCGAACACAGATACTTCATCCTCTTCCTCACCCCCAAATTAAACTGTTCCTCAGTTTGACTGGCAATTCCTTTAGAGCTGTCTGTTATTCGAGATCATTCTGGGAAGCAAGGATTACAAAACGTATTTGCGTTAATCCAGAGAACAGTATTTCGGAGGAATGTGTGGATGACCTAAGATATTTGAAGTAATGAACTTTATGGGATATAGTCATAATTTTGCTTGATTTAACACTGTTACGTTATGGCTTGCTAGTAATGATTATGGTTAAATTTTAAGTTTATGCATGAATCAATCATTTGAGGCTTACACAGGACTTCAGTGAAAATCACCAATACCAGATGAAACATTAAATGATTGATCTGAAAATCTTTTTCGATCTTGGGTGCTTCTTCCAGCTCCTTTTCTCAAGGGCAGTTCGTGGTGGCCATTCCTGTCAAATCTCAAATCGAGAATGAAACAACAACCCCTCTGCTCTAACTCTTAACTACGGACGATTTTCTTTAACTTGCTTTGGGGTTTTATTGAGGAAATTAAACATGCTGGCTTTGGGTCGGGGACATTTCACGGCTCTCAAGTACAAGGTCCTTTCTAGTTGCCAAAAGGTACTAGTCATCACAAACGCCCGAGTTGGACAATTACCACCCCTGTCGTAAAGGCTTTCATTGCCCAGAGCAAAGAGCAGGGCGGAGGCAATTGTCCAGATAAGACAGATTAGAGTATCACTTTTTAAAAAGGAACTGCCTGAATAACCCCATTCCCATCTGGAAAACTTCCGCCATACGTGTCGTGGCTAATAAAGCCGAAGAAAGCCCAGAAAGGCAGATACCACAGTATCTTACTCCCAGAGCAAGAAGACCATCCAGTGTCCTTCCGTCCACAGTCGGACTGGTCCTGACGGTCTCCTGAAACCTCTAGGTCAACCTTCTGTTTTCCTCTGGCACGCAGAAGGTGGTGGCGAACGGCCCACGCAGTCTGTACCCTTTCTTGCCCAGTGGGGTTAGAGATGAAGAGGATGCGCCCTTCCTCTGATCCTTCCGCTGTGAGCACCCGCCCTTCCCAGGGAGGCTGGTGCTACTTCTGTTATTCTGCAGCCAGAGACGTGGTTACAGAATGTCTCGTGCGCAGTCCAATCTAAGTCCCGGGTCACGGGTCTGCCTCTGGTTTTGTAATTTCCCCTCAATGATGCAATGTGCGTGAGCTCGACTCTCCCGAGGGGGAAGGGCCAAACCGCGGGTGTCTGGCAGTCACTCGGTCAGTACAGAGGCTGCGCTCTTCTGTTGTCATGTGGTAGAATAAACAGCCTTTTGAGTTGTGGAGCTTTGAGGAAGGGTCAAAGGCAGGGCACTCGGGAAGGCGGAGGCACTCCTGAGCAATTCCCTTGTGAAAGCACTGCTTCCTTGTCTGGACCCCCAGCCCCCCAACAGCAGAGCTGTGGAGGGCGGGGGGCTGGGAGGAGAAAGGGAGAGCTCTCCTTTTCCGGACACAGGACCAAACCCTGGAGCATCCCTAGCAAAGGACAGCTGCGGTGGGACCTATCACAATGAGGGACATCCACTCAAGGGCCGGCTCTACCTCACACTGCACTTCCTCACTGGTCATGGGTCTCACATCCCTGGGTAACGATCAGCGTATTCACGTTGGCGGTGTAGTGATGTCTGGAATGGAGAGAAGCCTAACTCTGAAAGGTTTTACAGAACAAAACAGTCAATTCTCACTCTAGATGAGTGTGGACATTCTGCCCCCAGGCGGGGCTGTCTACCATACTGTCTAGCTGCTTCCTTCACTCTGTCCTCAAAAGTTTCGTGGGGGAAGAAAGGAAGGGGCACAAGTTCAAAATCGTGTCAGTTTTTGTCAAGTTTCCCAGAGTTCCGTGCCACCTACAAAACATTAAATTTTAAAACGTGGAAAATGATGTATTTCTGTAGGGTTATTCACGATTGCCTGACCTCGATTCCATATGCTCTGCCAGTGTCCACATGAAGACACCAACACAATTTAGAAAATGCACAGTATTCAGCTCTAAGTTACCCCATGATAGCGGGCAGCGATCCATCTGGCTTGGTGTCATCCAGGGTTATTGAAATTGGAGCTTCCTCATCTTCAATGATCATACAGCCACAGTAATCTTAATAAAGAGAAAATCAATAGGAGATTGACACTGACCTCATCAAAAATTTAGGAATTATATATAGAGATATATAGAGATACACACACACACACACACACACATACATACACACACATATAAAACTCTTTTGCTAAGAGAAAGGCAAACCTCAAATAGTCTTTGCCCCAACCCTAGACGATATCTCCTTATTAAGTACACACATTAACTACACAAGGATATCTGCTGACCCAGACACGTGGCAAACGACCCATCTCAATGACCTCTACATAAAGATCACGCAGGACCAGTGCTACGGCTCAAACCGTACCGAGGCCCCGGAGCCCTGGAGTACACGGGCAAAGAGAGGCTTGCGTCAGAGGGAATCACCCCTAGGAACCCACAGAAGAAGCTGGGGGAAGGAATCCTTTGAGGAGGAGCAGGTTTGCCAACAATAGCCACCAAATCCACCCAGGCCCTGCCTCAGCTAATTGCCACACACATCCTGACAGCAGGTCTCACTGTCACCATTGTGACACAAGGAGACTGACGCTGAAAGGTGAACTGTCACAGCGAAGGTCACTCAGCTAGTAAGCAAGCGAAGCCCGGGACTGTGGGACTTCAACGCGGCACTCTTCCCACAGCACCCCCTTTGCGCCACTCTCTCATTTAGAGTAAGGGGCAGGACATATGCCAAGGACCAGGGCAATGGTGCCCCTGCCACTTGGGGGGATCTCTTCCTTCCCTTTCATTGACAGCAGGTGCTCTTGGGGTCATTCTATGTCGCACCAGGGGCTGTGAAGTGATGGACAGACTGAGATTTCTGATCCTTTCTTTGCCAATTTAAAAATATTTATCTTTGTCATCTTTTTTCTGTTCAGGGTCTATGAGAAGGTCCCTAAAGAGAGTGTGATCCCTTCACTTAACACAATTTAAACGTGAGTAAGTGCAGCCTACCCTTCTTCTTCCAAAAGGCCTCCTTGTAATACATCATGCACTTAATGATAGCCCCCATCGGAAGACGCTGGATTAACTGGTTTCTCTCTGACGGGAGCTCTGGTCGGAAGTGGATCTTGGCAGTCAAGGTTGGCGGGATGGCACTAATTACGTATCCGCACTAAAAGACACAGACACAAAATACCACCTCAAACGTGTGAGTCTCGGTCTTTACAGAGGGGGAGAAACATCATGTTGATCATTTAGAATGACACGGAGCAGTAACCACATACAACAGAACAAGGCAGGTCAACTAAAAATGGTAATTTGGAAGACAGAGTTGGAGACACACCAGCATTAATTATACCACTGCTTGGATTGTATTTGGTTAGAAGCTGCAGAAGACACGAGGCCTATTTAATATATGCTCCTTGGGACGAGGCTGAATTACCTCATAAAGTTCATGATTCAATGTCTCGATGATGATGTTGTCACCCGACTGGTCCACATAGGTGACAGGGCACCTCAGCTTCACTCTGTCCCCAAGGTGGTCCATTATCCGTTCACTCACTTGACCCGATCCACCCACAAATTTTCGTTCCTATAGGAGAAGGCAGGCAACGAGGACTATAAATATCAAACATCGGTCACGATAGCTCAGAAAGTAAAATACAGGTCAAAAGAAGCAATATGGGGGCGTCTGGGTGGCTCAGATGGTTAAGCGTCTGTCTTTGGCTCAGGTCATGATCCCAGGGTCCTGGGATCGAGCCCCACATCGGGCTCCTGGCTCAGCAGGGAGTCTGCCTCTCCCTCTCCCTCTGCCTCTCCCCCTGCTCATGCTCTCTCTCTATCTCTGTGTCTCAAATGAATAAATAAAACCTTTTTAAAAAAAAAGAAGCAATGTGCAATTTCTAAGTATAAAGATACTTCAAAGATGCAACTGTCCTGTATTTGCTAAAGCTAAGGGTCAAATGGCCAATACCTCTTGGAGCCATGAGAACAACTTAGGGTGTTCCGGAGATCGCCTGAGGAGAGGAATTATTCACTTAGTGGAGAAAGACGCTACACCTTGCACTATGGGACAGACCCTGTCTGGAACAGAGATGACTTGAAGTACGATCATTTTACCAGTTCTAGAAGTTTTTGAAAATTAGTTGATCCGTAGTACTTCAGCTCCTCCCACAGAGCTGCACTAATTTTACTTACCTCTCCCCCACCCCCAAAAAAAGGAAGGACCTAAATTCCAAAAACCTAATTAGTTCAAAACGAAACATTCTTTAGCTGTGAACACATCTCTAGGAACGAGAAAAGGAAAGGAGACCTTTTGGTTTCGGGCACGTTGGTTGAAATCATTTCAAAAATTCGTGTCTCAAATCCACTCACGGTTCCAGACATGGAAGCAGCTCTTAAGATTGTGCACTGGGTGAGGGCAGAACCACAAACGGAGGTTACAGGCTGAGAAGGGACACTCCGTACCTGGCCCCCATTGGTGACCGAGAATATCCGAGTGGTGCCTCCGCACTGCTTCACGTACCACAAAAACCACAGCGCAGACACCTCGTGGGGCTCAGAGGTCACGTTGATGTTCACAAAGAGCGATGCAAACTGCCTAGCGGTCCTGGTCACATAACAAAGGCGACAGTCAGGTGTAAATACATACATGCTTCACAGGACAGCACCTTTTTAAAACACAGTTCAGTACAGTTCAAAAGCATCTGCACTGCTTTTAGGGGGGGAAAAAAAACAACAATCCTCACAGGCTCTACCTCTGAAGGAATGCACATTTTAACATCTGGTGAAAAATAACCTATTCCTTTGTTTTGAGGCAGTTATGGGTTCGCTCCAAATATATTAATTCTGGTACCGTCTAAAAGGGTCAAGATGCTGGTGAGGGATCATTAAGGATGCAGGTCTCGCTTCCTTGAACAATCGTCCTCTCTTCTCCACCTCCGCTGCTCCCACCCTGCTCCAGTCCACCCACATCCCTCACCTGGGTTACAACGGTGGTGGCTCCTCCGGGTCATCCCTACCTGGTTTATGACTACAGCCCCTTTTGATCCTTTGCCACATTACAGCCAATAAAATCTTTTGACAATGCCAAACAAAACAAAACCAACAAAACCACTCTTCATAAAACCCTTCATGGCATCCATGGCAAAAGGGAAAATTCTGGAATGCAGCCACTCTATCTTCCACCATCAGCCTCTCAACCAGCTCTCCGACCTCTAATTACGTTGCTCTCCTGTGGCATCCTTAAGAGTCCAGGCACACTGTCATATCACTGCAAAAACATGTCAAATCTCCCTATCTTGGGGCCTTCAAGAGCGGTTTCCTGTTTTCTCTACATGGAAAATAATATCCCCCACACCATCCCCCTTCACATCTCCCAGCATTCACAGTGGCTCATTCCTGGAAGATACCACCCATCACACCATCCGTCCCCTGCGGTCTCTCCCATCCACAGTGGCTCATTCCTGGAAGATACCATTCCCCTAACAACATTCACTCTTTGCATCTCCCCTAAACCTTGCTGATTCCTGCCACGCCATTCCCCAACATCACTCCCCTATACTGTCTACACTCATCCACTGCACCTCATTAATGGAAGCTACCTGTCATATCATTCACTCTTCCTGTCACTTCCCACAGTCACTGTAGCTCATTCCTGGATGGTACCATCCTCTCACACCATCCACTTTTCCTGTCTCCTCCATCCACTATGGCTCATTCCTGGAAGATACCATGCCTCCATATCATCCCTATTCCCGTCTCCTATCCACCCTCACTGTAGCTCATTGCCAGAAAATACCATCCCCTAGACCATGTATCCTTCCTGTAGGTACCCCCCACCCCTTACCACGTACCTGAGTCACTGTGGTTCCTTCCTGGAAGATACCATCCTGCAACAGGCCACCCACCCCTCCTATTCCCCAACATCTACTATGGATCATTCCTGGAAGATACCATCCCACCAAACCACATATCCTTACTGTCCCCCCACCATGCGCTGTGGTTCATTCCTGGAAGATACTATCCCCCCACACCGTCTACTCTTCCCCATCTATCCCCACCCATATAGCTCATTTGTGGAAGCAACCTTCCCAACACACCAACCACACCTCCTGTCTCCTCCCATTCTACTATGGCTCATTCCTGGAACATACCATCTTCCCATACCTTCCAACTTTCCTGCCTCCCCCATCCACAGTGGCTCATTCCTAGAAGATACCATCTCACCACACCATCCGCTCATCCTCTCCCTGCCACCCATTATTGTTTACTTCTGGAACATATCCCCACACACCATCCATCCTTCCTGTGTCTCCTACCCACTGAGGCTCATTTCTGGAAGATACTATGCTCCCACATGATCCACCCTTCCTGTCTCCCCCCACAGTCACTGTAGCTTATTCCTGGGTGATTTCATCTCCTCATCCTCTTCCTCTCTCCTCTCCATCCACCACAGCTCATTTCTGGTAGATACCATTCTCCCATACCACCCAATTTTCCCATCTTCCCCATTTACTGTGGCTCATTCCTGGAAGATAGCACTGCCCACCCCCCAAACACACACACACACACACTCTTCCTGTCTACTTCCATGGATTATGGCTCATTCCTGGAAGGTAACATTCTCCACCACATCCATCTTTGCTGACTCCCCCCATCCATGTGGTTCATTCCTGGAAGATACCATCCACCCTCACTACCCACTCTTCCTATCTCCCCCCATCTATATGGCTCATTCCTAGAAGATACCAATCCAACCTTCATGTCTCCCCCTATAACCTATGGCTCATTCCTGGAAAATATCCCCTCAGCCACCATCAACCGTCCTGTCTCCACCCACCTCCATACACTGTGGTTCATTCCTGGAAGATACCATCCTTTAACCTACTATCATCCTAGATGATAACTGTCACCACATCATCCAGTCTTCCGGTACCCCTCCCCCACCTCCATCACTACTATTCCTTCCTGGAAGATAAATTTCCCCTCCAGTCATCCACCCTTCCTCTCTCCCCCTACAGTGGTTCATTCCTAGAAGGTACCATCCCCTCAACCCTCAACTATTTCTACTCTTCCTATATCCCCCCATCAATTGGTGCATTCTTGGAAGATACTATCCACCACATCAACCGTCCTTTCAGTCTCCCCAGTCAACAGGCTCATTCCTGGAAGATATCATTCCCCCCAACAATATATAGCCTTCCTGTCTCTCCTACCCACTGAGGCTCATTCCTGGAAGATACCTTGCTTCCACATCATCTAGCCTTCCTGACTCCCCCCCCACCCCATAGTCACTGTAGCTCATTCCTTGATGATACCATCTTTTCATACCATCTTCTCTTCCCTATCTCCCCCAATCCACTATGGCTCATTCTTGGAAGATACCACTCCCTCAACAGCATCCACTCTTCCTGACTACCTCCATAGACAATGGCTCTTCCTGGAAGATGCCATCCCACCATCCATCCATCTTTACTGCTGTCTTCTTCCCCCTACCCACCATCCACCATGGCCTATTCCTGGAAGATACCACCCTCCCACACCATCCATCTGGTCACACCCCTTCCTGGAAGATACCATCACCACACACAATCCTCCTTTCCTGCCCCCCTGCCCCCATCCATGTCACTCATTCCTAGAAGATTAAATCTACCCATACCATCCATCCTTCCTTTCTCCCCCCATCCATGTGGCTCATTCCTGGAAGTTACCATAGCCTCACACCATCCAGCCTTCCTATTTCCCCTATCCACTATGGTTCATTCTTGGGAGATACCATCCTCCCACACCATACTCTCTTTGCTTGTCCCCATCCATTTGGCTCCTTCCTGGAAGATACCATCACCCCACAAGATCCAGCTTTCCTATCTCCCACTCCCCCATCCAAGTGGCTCATTCCTGGAAGATACCATCCGGTCACACATTCCACTCTTCTTGTCTCCCCCATCAAATTGCTCATTCCTGGAAAATACCATTCCTACACACCATCCATTGCGCCTCATTCCTGGAACATACCATCCAGCTTTCCTGTCTCCCCCATCCACAGTGGCTCATTCCTGGAAGATATCATTCTCCCACATCATCAACCTCTCTTGTCTCCCTCCATGGATTAAGCTCACTCATGGAAGATACCATCCCACCAAACATCCATTTTTGTCTCCCCCAGTCCACCGTGTTTCATACCTAGAAGATAGCAACCCCTCACATATTTCATTCTTACTGTCTCCCCCATCAACTGGGTCATTCTTGGAAGATACCTTCCCCCCACACCATCCAGCCTTTTTATCTATCTACTGGCATACACTGTGGCTCATTCATGGACAATACCATCTGCATACACCATCCAACTTTCATTTCTCCACCCTTCCACTGTGGCTCATTCCTTGAAGATACCATTCCCCCACACCGCTCACCCTTTCTGTCTCTCCCCATCTGCTATGGCTCACTCCTGGAACATGTCATCTCCATACTATCCATCCATCTGGTCTCCCCCCATCCACTGTGGCACATTCCTTGTAGATTTCATATTCCCACATCATCCTCCCTTCCTGTCTATTCCCAAATACTATGGCTCATTTCTGGAAGACACTTCCTTCCACACCATCCATCTTTTCCTCTCTCTCTCCCTCATCCACTTTGTGGCATTCCTGGAAGATACCTTGTCCCCCACACCATCCACCCTTTCCTATCTCCTCCCATCCTCTGTGACTCATTTTTAGTTGGTGCACTAAGTCTTTGGTTTATGTTTAAAGATGGCTGCATCCGGGAATCTCTTCCTTACCCTTAGGTCAAGATCCCTGTTACAGTCACTCTAGTAGCATTATGGAATTATGTGCATAATGTCAGTCTCTCCTGCTAGAAGAATACTAACTCCACGAGTTTAGGGGCCATGCCTAACACATTCACCACAATTCCTCACCGATGGCTACAGTGCCTTCACACAGCAGCCCCAGAAAGCTGACTAAACAACCTGTAAGTAACTCAACTCATTACACAGGTTCTCATCGAAAATACTATAAAATTTATATTTTTCATTAATATAGACTAGCTTGCTTTTGGTTCCATGTTTTTCTACATCTGTATGGAATTACTTTAATATCTTTCCAAATTGCTTCTGTAGCTGACTGCTATATAATTTGAATACACAATTACTTATTTTATTGCAAATCACAGAGCCCTTTCATTAAAAACATTCTACTTCATTCACCTCCTCTTTGTTTTCATGTTTTAGATTCATTTTATGTTCAAACTCACTCTGAAGTGTTTAAAGTTCCTTCAAAGTTGCCACTGATTGAAAGATCATTAGGTTTCCTCTTAACTTTTTTCCTATAACTTATTAAGAAAAACACTGCAGGGGTGCCTGGCTGGCTCAGTCAGTGGAGTGCGTGACTCTTGATCCTGGGGTTGTGAGTTCAAGCCCCATGTTGGGTGTAGAGATTACTTAAAAAATAAAAATCTTAAAAAAAAAAAGAAAGAAAAATACTACAGTTCAAGATAGGACAGAAAGGATCCAAAGGAAAGATGAAAAGTAAATTTTAAATAGTCAAGATTACTTCGTCCAGCAGATTTTATCAATGAGATCTTTCATGGTCATCTTGTCCCATTCCTCAGCATGTGGGGCCTCCCATGGTGCATCCGCTGGAATCTGCAGAGGAAGAAGGGCCCACATTCAGGTGTGATGGTTACTGCCCACTGCTCTGCCAACAGGCCTTCAGGAGAACCTCTGAATACCAGTCTCTGGGTCTGTGTTGGAATGTGTGACTGACATAGAATTCTAATATAGATAGTGGTGGGGTTGGGATGCATAGATCTCTGCATTCTATGCCTTAAAGCTGTTGCCATAATGATGATGATGACGATGATGCAAAAAGGGGGGGAATTACATATAAATGTATATATAAATTAATATGTAATTATGATGATGATCCTTATTATTGAAAGCCAACGCCCATTTTAAGTCCCCAATTTAAGTGTGAGAGAGTGATCTTATGGAGCCTGGGCCTAGGTAAAAAACCTTGGGGGGGATAAATCCCTCTTTCCTTTACTATCCAAAGTGGCATCACACATGGATAAGGCAACTATGAGTAGGATACCTGGCGAAAATATGTCCCACAAATTCTCAGTGCCATAGAGTTGAAAGCCCACAGACATTACAATCAGAGAGATGTGGGTTTGACTCCTGGTTCCCTTGCTGTGTGGTGTTGGGGAAATTACCATAACCCCTTGGGCACTCATTTTCCTTGCAAATGGAAATACTACCAACTTGGCAGAGTAGTTGGGTGTATTGGAAATGATAGGTATGAATGTCCAGAGCAATGTCCTCTGCACTATTGGAAGGATATTAAACGGTTGCTATTGTTACGTTAGTAACAGGTCATGGGTAAGCTGAACACACACTTTACCTCCTTCCCCATGTTATCCATTGTCCGCCACAAATTGTTGTAATCCAAATAGGCAATGGGATTCCATACTGGCGGAAAGGCCCCCCGAAATGGATAAGTTCTCCCCTACAACATAAAAGCAAAGGATAATACCTTAAATTAGGATGGCATTCTAAAAAACAAAACCCAGCCAACATAAGAGCCATTTGCAAGCTAAGAGTATCCTCTCCTGTTGCAAAAGCATCACCTTTGATGGGAAGTAAATACATTTTATCTATACAGGCCCCAAATTTCAATTAGATTAGCAAAATTCCCTTGGTGTTGTGCTCCCTGTTTTTAACCTACTGGAAATAATAGCTGTGAACTTACTCCTACTTATATAGAGAAAATAAATAAAGGTAGCTCATCCCAATATCTAATGCTGATACCACAATATTCTCAACCCTTGAGCTCCTAGCTAATCTCTTTGGAGGGATGCTCCCACTCAGATGAGAGCAGGATGATGACATGGAAGACTGTCCTTGGACCACACAGAAGACTGGAACAACAGAGCAGAACATCTCAGGCTGAGTTTTAGGGTTCACACAGGCTAAATAAAGATTGGTTAGATTACCGACCATGCCTGAAGTCAAGAATCAAAATATGAGAAACAGAATAATGGGCATTTGACATTTTTTTGGTTGCCCAGCATCCATGTTCCTTTCCCAATATTATCCTGGTTCCTTTTTGGGAAACTGCCTCTCCTCCTCTGTGGATAGATGTGTAGGAAGGATGGTCCTGGGTATCATCTCCCATTATAGCAGGCAATGGGCTAGATCCTTTCTCCACCCCCTCTGGCTTCTGGTGCAGCCAGGCTGTGAGGCTGTCAGCTAAGCTTGGCCAATGACACACACTCTCTGACCCTGGAATGAGTCACCCAACAACAGAAGAAAGCTAACTCTGGGTTCTCCTTCCCCATGGCTCCTAACTTGCCAGAGCTTGCCAGAGCTCCCTAACTTGCTAGAGCTCCCCTGATCTCTGCCTATTCCTAAATGTGGCCCTCCAGCCTCCCGTAGATTCTGTGGGCCCTTTGCTATCCTTTCACTAAATCCCCTCTTGTTAGCCGGAGTTGGCTTTCTATTGCTTTGGTAAAGAGACCTCTAACATAAAGACAGCTAATTATTTGCCACCATTGACTTCATTCCCATTGTGTGACAAGCCCTGTGCTATGAAAACACCGGGGTGAGGTAAGAGTGAATCCTTGGAAAGAGAGACCAGGTCTAGGTATTTTCTAAGGTTTTTAGTTCCCTTAAAAATAAAATATTCATAAGATGAAAATATCGTCTACTAATTCAATTTTGCATGAGATTTTTTTTTTATCAAATAAAAACATACTCTCAGTATTTGCATTAAGCTTACTGTGTGTACTGCACAGCATTAAGCACTGTGTCGAATTAAAAAAGTGGGGGAGGGGAGCTAAAGCAAAACTCCTGACCATCGGGGCGCCTGGGTGGCTCAGTCGTTAGGCGTCTGCCTTCGGCTCAGGTCATGATCCCAGGGTTCTGGGATCGAGCCCCGCATGGGGCTCCCTGCTCCGCGGGAAGCCTGCTTCTCCCTCTCCCACTCCTCCTGCTTGTGTTCCCTCTCTGGCTGTCTTTCTCTCTGTCAAATAAATAAAATCTTAAAAACAACAACAACAACAAAAAACTCCTGACCATCAAGACAGGGACACAAGACCTAACAGCATTTGCATTCATGTGCACACACCTGCACACGCATGCGTGCACACACGCACTCTTCAACTGAGTAACGATATACAGCAGCCATTAAGTGACAAGTAATTTTGCCTGCCACAGTAGCAAATTCAAATAACCTTGGCAGATTATGTGATCTGATTTCTTATCTGAAAAATGCCATGTTGTAATGCTGCAATACGACTCTCTGAGACTCCAAACCTTTATCATCACCACCACCACCGTGGTATCACGACCATTATTACTAACATTTATTGAGATCTCTCTCCATGCCTGGCCCTGGCTAAGCTCTTCATATGTATTATCTCGCTCCAACCCTGTAGAGGCAAGCACTATTAATATTTCCATCTTATAAATGAGGAAACTGAAGCCCAGGGATATTAGCTGGAAAATAGTAGGACGGAAATTTCCTGTTCCCAAAGCCTTTGTTCATAAACATTAAGCTTTCTGGCCTTCCTATAGGGTTGATAGAATGTGGAGATAGGTTTGTTCTAGAGACATCTTAACCTTCCCAACTGGATGAAGGAGAGTTTGGAAAGGTGAAACTAGAAATCTTCCACACCATCTTTTATGTTTCTAAGGAGTAAAAATGGAGATGAAGAAGCTCTGTTTGAGGAAACAGCATCAACCCTGGGAAATGAGGAAGCACGTCTGGAGAAAAATGGGCAGACATTTTACCCAGAATGCTATGTTAGCTACAGAGAGGAGGCCGACGGGTTAACAGCTCATGGGCAGCCTTCAGAACAGCGGGTTCTCATTACAGTTCCTCCCTTAATTGAAATCAGGGAAAATCTACATTTTCCTCTGTAAGATGTATTTATACTCAAGGAATAGTATCATACAGAACTGATCTTTGCTTTGAAAAGAAATATTTTTTTTAATAAAAACAAACATGCTCAATCATCTGGGGACATTAAGAAAAGTATCATAAATATAATTCAACAAAATGTGTCCCACACTCCTAATAAAGTTCTTCTCAGGATGATGCCCACCAGAGTCTCATTTCACACATGGCCTAAAGACCCCATGATCTGAGCCTTGAAAAACAAAGAGGTGGCAAAAGAAGTAAAGAATCCAAGGAGAGAGAAGAGTCCAGCCCGGCAATCTTTTTAGAAACAGGAGCCATGGGAATTCTAAAAAAAGATCATAAAGGCTGACTATAACATTAATTTTTATACTGTTGACAGAGGCACCAAGTTGATGAAGGGATTTCATTAATCAGTTTCACTCTTCATGTCTGGCTTCTCTGCTTTTATTCCATAGAACCTAAATCTGGGGCCCCTGGGTGGCGCAGTCGGTTAAGCGTCTGACTCTTGGTTTCGGCTCAGGTCGTGATCTCAGTGTTGTGGGATCGAATCCCTGTGTCGCACTCCGCTCTGCTTGAGATTCTCTCTCTCCCTCTCCCTCTGCCCCTCCCACTCATGCTCTCTCTCTCTCTCTCTAAAATGAATAAATATAATCTTT